AGGCACCATATGTAGTAATTAGTAAACTGCATTATGTTACATTTTTGCTTTTGGGTTTAGATACACTTTAAAAACACATTTGCATTTTGTAAATTATTGTGTACATGTTTTTTTATCTTGAGTATGAGTTTTTCTTGGGTTTATAGTATATATAATGCTTGTTACTTCTACATCTGGAGTTATGCATCTTTCACCATTTCTGCACACATGCATAAACTGATCAACACTATTTTACTGCTCAAGAAATCAGGTAACTCACCCCTAATTTCATACATTCAGCTGCTCAGCTTCAGGTCAAAGTTGACTAAGGAAAAATCGGTTTTACTGGGAAATTCGGGTAGGCAACACTCTGATTCAATATATAACATATTGACACAATTGTTAGAGCATGTGAATATCAATGATCATGAGCAAAGTTTACCAATTCAGCAGATTCAGGAGACTGCAAGGTTGGCTCCCCACACATACTGTATGCTGTGCATAAATCACTAGAAGGAATAAAATGTGATTGAGCAGCTTCAAATGTTGGATGGACTCCCAGATGTGGTTTGAACAGTTTTGGTATTTGCAGCTTTTAAGTATTGATAAGTGGATTTATTTTTGTCAAGGTGAGTTAATGTTATATAAATATCCTTTGAATTAAAGCAAAAAGCACAACCACTAAATACATTTGTTTGACTAATTTCCCTGGAGTTCTGTTTGATGTCCGTGGTGGTATAATCTTTCAGGTTGGCTCCATTTCTGGAAAGCAGGCACCTTCAAGTCATGTAACCCTTTTAGCCTGACTCCAATTTTAAATAGCAGGTATCCCCATGTGGTGTTACACTATTAGCCTGCCTCCGTTTCTAGATAGTAAGCGCCTCAAAGTGGTGTAACACTATTACAATTACCTTTCAATTCTATATAGCAGGCACCTCCAGGTTTAAACAGCAAACTACAACAACCTGTGTAGCCTCACCGCCTCCTATCACCACACCATACTTCTCCTCCAATAGGAAGATGAAGGGGAAATGAAAGAGTAGGTTGCACAATGGCTATGCAGGCTGCAGCTGCAGTGTCCTGCACAGAACACCCCAGAGCCACTAGGACCCTCTGCATAGCAGCTGAGGTGTGTGGGTGGCTTCTTTCTAGAAGTGGAGCCAGCTTAATAGTACACTACCCCACAATGTTACATTAGGTTAATAACATAAACATGCGTTCATATGCGTACAGGAGGCAGTTATATCATAGATTACTATACCATAGATTACCTTCACATTAGAGCTACAAATGCATTGTTACATGGAAATCCAACACTGACCCATGGCCAAGTAAAGCAGGTATTTTTGCTTTTTTTCATCAACCTTATGGGCAGAACATGATATGGGCAGAACATGATATCCAACTATTGCATATGTATGTGCAATTTTCACACATTTTTTTTTTCACACAATTTTTTTAAATTGTCTGTTTATCCTTATTATTTACGAAAAAAACTGCTCCTCTAATTTTATGTCAAACTAAGCATATACAATATGCCTTCCACTAACAGGACATCCTAAATCTGCATAGCTGTAGTACATGTATCTGGTAATATTATCAAATTATTTAAATAGATTGGCAGCGCATATAATTAAGATATGGACAATTTACTGTTACATTGATTTCAGAAGCTTCAAACCTGTTTACTGTTGTGCATTTCACTATTCCAATAGAAAAGGATTTAACGCTTTACTAGAATCTATTGACTGAAGAATTCTAGCATACAGTTTTCCGTTGAGTCAGCTTTTGCTTAAAGTGGAGATGCCCTTAATAAATGTGAATTGGGAAGCTCATGTGAAGCTTTCTTCAAAGCTTGCACCATGTATTTCCACCTTTACCGACCCTGCATTTTGTGGACTTAAAAACATTGGCGAGTTACATTTCCATGTAACAAAGCATGTGTAGCTCTTCTGTAGAGACCATAACAATCCACTGTGTAATTAACTTCAGCTTCAATAAACTGCAGACCAAGTCCCACTTTGGTGGTTAGTGTGTGGCTCTCAGGTCCTAGCAGCCAGTGTTGGGAGTGGGAGCATTACTTTGTGAAGGGATTGCAGTTATCGACAATAAATTCAATACATTGCCTTGCTTTATAGTTATGCAGAAATTGTGACATAAATTCAGCTTGGCTAAATGGTTAAATGGCTAGTCTTCTATTTTTATTTTCACATTGTTGCACTAATTATCATACCTGGGAACCTGAGACATTAGAAGTGTGAGACTGGGGGGTTGAGAAAGAGGATAGGTGGTGGGCTACTCCTGCCATATCAAAATTGGTGTATAAGTTGCCTGTATACATTGCGTCAAAAAGGAGGCAACAGTTGCAGTGTCCTTAATGCATTGCAGCAAACTGAAGGGTTTCTTAGTAGAATGCATAGGGGTCTATTTATAAACAATTTGCAGAGCAAAATGCCATGTGAATCTCTTTGAACGTTTGTTCAAAGAGATTTGAACGTTTGCAAATAGAGACAAAAACATAGGTTCTTAGTATATTTGATTTTCAGGTTGAATGTAATGTAATACCACATTATGGCCCCCAGATAGAGCCGAGGAGCATAGGAAACAAAATCTATTTATCTCTACCATAAAAACAGAGATTAACAGCCAATTAGACATCATTTTCCAACCTGTTGTGTCCTACACTACAGATCTCCTAATGCAAACATTGACACAAGACACAGAGAGCTATTCCTATGATTGTTCTTAATATCTGACGGTTTCATGTACGGCCACTTTATTGATTAAAAACATTGATTAAGAACAATGTTCATACCTGTCTCACAAATTTAGTTAGGGAAGCAGCTAGATGAGCTAATCAAAGTGTTAGTTGATATACAATGGGATTTATTTCCTAAAAGTGTATTGTAACATTACAGGGGGACCTGGATAAAATAGGGGAGTGGGCCACTACATGGCAGATGCGGTTTAATGTTGAAAAATGTAAAGTAATGCATTTTAGGTTTACAAATAGGCAAGTGGAATACACATTAATCCACTAGGGAAGTAAGAAATGGAAAAAGATTTGGGGGTCATAGTAGACCACAGATTGAATAACAGCTTGCAATGCCAGGCTGCGGCAAACAAAGCTAGCAGAGTACTGTCATGCATTAAATAGGGAACTGTACGGTAGAGACAAAGCAATAATGTTACCACTTTATAGATCACTGGTGCAGCCTCATCTCGAGTATGTGGTTCAGTTTTGGTCACAAATCCACAGAAAGGATGTCCTGGAGCTGGAGAGAGTCCAGAGAAGGGCAACAAAACTAATTAAGGAGCTGTAGAACCAAAGCTATGAGACAAGGTTGCTAAATTTAAACTTGTTCACGCTGGAAGTGAGGAGATTAAGAGAGGACATGATTTTGATGTACAAAATGTTTTGTGGAGATGGCAACATCAGCAATACATTTTTTACTGTAAACGCCTTAAAAAAGACTAGAGACCACCACCTAAAATTGGTGGAGAAAAGATTTAACCACAAAGGGCGCAGGGGCTTCTTCTCAGTTAGAGCGGTTACATTTTGGAACTCTCTTCCACAAGCAGTGGTATCAGCAGAGAGTATTGAATCATTAAAAAATCATTTAGATACCTTCCCAAGAGACCGCAACATACAGGGGTACAGGTACACTTAAAAACAAGGTCACACAGGGACTCATGTACACACACACATACACGCACACACAGACACACAAAGGTTGAACTTGATGGACCTGTGTGTTTATTCAACCTCAAATACTATGTAACTATGTAACTCTTACACAGGGAAGACTTTCTTAGTTGAGCAAATAAAGTGAAGCTATCTTCACTTTGAATACCCAATCATGTGCAAGGGAAATTTAAAAAAATAAAATGATTTTTGCTTGCACATAGCCCGTACAGCACCCCCTCGGTTCTACTGAATCGAAGGGGTCCTGGGGCCGAAGCTAGCCGAAGGATCGGCCGAAGCTGGGCCAGATCCTTCGGGAGCTTCGTGAATAGACCCCTAAGTACGTGAACATTCTCTAAATCAACTTCAACTGTTCTTATAAAATCTGATCAAACAGTCTAATGATTTCCTTCTCTCAGTGTAATCTCAGTTTGTCTGATAAGCTTGTGTTACCTGCCAGTTCCTTACTTGAAGAATATCCCAGTGTTGGGATGTCTAACAGTTTTCAGGTACTTGGCCATCATCTTTCAGCAGTGATTACAAGAGCTTATTTTCAAAAAAGAACCAATTGCATTAGGTAGTGCACACAAAATCCTTTAAAGGCCATGCATATATTTCAGCAAATGGTTTTGCTTTAGGTGTTTCTTTTACTAATTAATTTTCAGTAACACAATATTTTGTTTTGATAAACTTGTGTGCTTCATGTACATCAGTAGAATTCAACAGCTGCTTTCACATAAACAGCCGAGCATTAGCACTTCACAAGTCATCTAAGCACCTTTTTGTTTGCTGTGAAGTAAATATGAAACAAATAAACATGGTAATATTCCTGTGAAAAGTTCAAATGTATTTATTGCATTTGTTGAGCACAATTAAAATGCAAGCAAGCTTATTTAAAATCCTATGTTTCAGCTGCTGATAATTAAACGAATAATTCATACATTATTCAGCTTATCTATAAACTGTTTCCATGGTTGTCTGGATGTCACATACATCACTGTAGGCAATGGGACCAATTTAAGAAAATACTAATTGCCACATGACTCATTTTGAAAGTGTTCCATGACTGAATAACTGTTAGTAAGGACACAACACACCTACACATGTGGATAACTTCATATAAGCAGATTTTTACTGCTCCCAGCTTTCCATTAAAGTTCTAGCACAGTCAAAAATCTTTGGCAGCACTGGCCTGCAATGTGTTTCTATGTATGGCAGCTTAGCAATTTGAGATTTGTCTGTTGGATTTCATTTCCACTTTATATGTATCAATTTTTAGTTGTTGCATTTTTCAATGTATTTATAATGCACCTTTGCATCTTTTCTTCTTTTGTAGGGAAGACGAGGTTACGGTTCAATATTTGTATGGGCTTCTGGCAATGGTGGTAGAAGCAGAGATCACTGCTCCTGCGATGGGTATACCAATTCCATCTACACAATCTCTATTAGCAGCACAACAGAAAGTGGCAAAAAACCCTGGTATCTGGAAGAATGTGCCTCAACACTGGCTACAACTTATAGCAGTGGGGAATCGTATGACAGAAAAGTGGTATGATTTGTTTATTTTAGGATACAGATATATATA